AGCATCAGCCGGGGAGCAAATACACATTTCCTTCACTGAATATATTTTACATATATTTGTAAATGCATTCCAAAAATGTAGATTTGTGTTTTTAAAGACATACAGTATATTTGAAAAATATTTAAAAAAAATACTTTTTCATATATTTTGTAGAATATAAAAAAACACATTTCAACATGCAGTATATATTATATATTATATATTTTGAAATATATTGAATTGTAGTATTTCAAATATATATCAATATATTTGGGAAGAATATTTGTAATATATGTTTCTGTCATGTGGGAGGGAGGCGGGTGGATCCTCTGGAGGGCGAGGGGTTAAGCAAATGAAAATAATAAAAAATAAATAAGAAAACATAAAACAAATAAACAATCGACTTACCTTTCCAAGAAATCGGCGGGCGAAAGAGTGAGACAAATGCGGATGAGATGACACAACCGGTGACACATCGCCTTCACCGACAGATCCGAAACGCGTCAACTATCACATTTGTAAATAACATCTTCCTCCTGGATGAGCGGTGAAGGTGTCACATCCCGGAACACGGCAGGTTAATGGGGAAGTAAGTGACAATCCACGGAACAGATGTCGCCGGCAATGCCAGGACACAGACGCGGGAGGATCACAGGAAGACGGGAAATCATGGCCTGAAATCTCATCCCGGAGAAAGATGTTATTTACAGATGTGAAAGTTACCAGGAATGTCAATATTCCTCTATACAGATCACAATGTAATAATAATAATACAAATATTTTTATTAACCCCTCCGCCTCCAGAGGATTCCCCCCCCCCCCCCCCCCCCTTCTTGACCAGGCCATTTATTGCGTTACGGCGCTGCGTTACTTTAACTGACAATTGCGCGGTCATGCAACGCCGCACTCATATTAACGTTTACGTCTTTTTCACTTACGATGTATCGTATGTCGCTGATGCACAATTTTAAAGAGTGACATGCATGGTGTCTATTTACTTGGCGTAATATCATCTTTTATATTTTACATTAAAGAATGGATTGTATATTATGTTTTATTGCACTAAAATGTAAAAAAAAAAAGTGTATTTTTTCTTTCCCAAAATAATTGCTTATGAAAAACGGCTGCACAAATAACATAAAAAAAATGCCAAACTCACCAATTTATTCTCTAGGGCCTCTGCTTTAACAAAATAAATGAATATGAAAAAAATAATAATAATAATAAAAAAAAATAATTATATATATATACAGTCAGGTCCATAAATATTGGGACATGGACACAATTCTAACATTTTTGGCTCTATACACCAAAATGGATTTGAAATGAAACGAACAAGATGTGCTTTAACTGCAGACTGTCAGCTTTAATTTGAGGGTATTTACATCCAAATCAGGTGAACGGTGTAGGAATGACAACTGTTTGCATATGTGCCTCCCACTTGTTAAGGGACCAAAAGTAATGGGACAGAATACTAATCCTAAATCAAACTTTCACTTTTTAATACTTGGTTGCAAATCCTTTGCAGTCAATGACAGCCTGAAGTGTGGAACGCATAGACATCACCAGACGCTGGGTGTCATCCCTGGTGATGCTCTGCCAGGCCTTTACTGCAACTGTCTTCAGTTCCTGCTTGTTCTTGGGGCATTTTCCCTTCAGTTTTGTCTTCAGCAAGTGAAATGCTCTATCGGATTCAGGTCAGGTGATTGGCCATTGCAGAACATTCCACTTCTTTGGCTGCTTTTGCAGTCTGCTTTGGGTCATTGTCCATCTGCACTGTGAAGCGTCCAATGAGTTGTGAAGCATTTGGCTGAATATGAGCCGATAATATTCCCGAAACACTTCACAATTCATCCGGCTGCTTCTGTCAGCAGTCACATCATCAATAAATACAAGAGAAGCAGTTCCATTGGCAGCCATACATGCCCCACGCCATGACACTACCACCACCATGATCACTGATGAGGTGGTATGCTGAGGACCATGAGCAGTTCCTTCTCCATACTCTTCTCTTCCCATCACTCTGGTACAAGTTGATGTCGGTCTCATCTCTCCATAGGATGTTGTTCCAGAACTGTGAAGGCTTTTTTACATGTCGTTTGGCAAACTCTAATCTGGCCTTCCTGTGTTTGAGGCTCACCAATGGTTTCCATCTTGTGGTGAACCCTCTGTATTCACTCTGGTGAAGTCTTCTCTTGATTGGTGACTTTGACACACATACACCTACCTCCTGGAGAGTGTTCTTGATCTGGCCAACTGTTGTGAAGGGTGTTTTCTTCACCAGGGAAAGAATTCTTCGCTCATCCACCACAGTTGTTTTCCGTGGTCTTCCGGGTCTTTTGGTGTTGCTGAGCTCACCGGTGCGTTCCTTCTTTTTAAGAATGTTCCAAACAGTTATTTTGGCCACGCCTAATGTTTTTGCTATCTCTCTGATGGGTTTGTTTTGTTTTTTCAGCCTAATGATGGCTTCACTGATAGTGACATCTCTTTGGATCTCATCTTGAGAGTTGACAGCAACAGATTCCAAATGCAAATAGCACACTTGAAATGAACTCTGGACCTTTTATCTGCTCATTGTAATTGGGATAATGAGGGAATAACACACACCTGGCCAGGGAACAGCTGAGAAGCCAATTGTCCCATTACTTTTGGTCCCTTAACAAGTGGGAGGCACATATGCAAACTGTTGTCATTCCTACACCGTTCACCTGATTTGGATGTAAATACCCTCAAATTAAAGCTGACAGTCTGCAGTTAAAGCACATCTTGTTTGTTTTATTTCAAATCCATTGTGGTGGTGTATAGAGCCAAAAATGTTAGAGTTGTGTCGCTGTCCCAACATTTATGGACCTGACTGTAAATATATAAATAACATGTTTGGGGGTTCTAATTACTTTACTAGCAAAAAAAAATACTGATTTTTAACATGTACACAAAAAGTTCCAAAAATGGCCGAGGTATCACTTATTCTTCCTTTTTTTTAGCTCATGTTCACTACATGGGTTGAGTTGCATTTTTATTCTTTTTTTTTTTACTTACAGATCCAGATTAGCTTAGTTTTCTCTTGGATTCTTAATAGATGACTTCAGTCATCCCTATTTCTTTCAGTGATTTTAATTTTTTTAATATGTTTTATATGCTATATTAATTGTTTATTTATAGTATTTTTATGTTTAGCATTTAAAAAAAACACTTTAAGATTCTTGTCCCGTCCTTTGAGTAGTCCATGTAACATTGTGAGCGTGCTCAGTGCTTTCTTTGGGAATACCGAGAAGTAAAAGGACACCAATAATATACAAATGAAGGTTTTCTCTGAGATTCTTACAAAGACACTTATATCTTACATTTGGTGGGATCTTTAAGGCAACCTTAAAATATATAAATCAGACAATATTTTAAAAAGAAAATTTGACATTTTTTTTGACACTTCAAGAATTGTTATACTCTATGGGGGGAAATGTGTACTGGAGTGTCAAATAAAATGTCAAATTCTCTTTTAAAATATTGTCTGATTTATATATTTTAAGGTTGCCTTAAAGATCCGACCAAATGTAAAATATAAGTCTCTTTGTTAGAAAAAATAGGGATGATGGGACCCCCCCCCCCCCCCCGGGATATGCCGGATGACTCTCTTCTCTTAGATTCTTAATCGAAAATAAATAAACTTGGGGTAACATAATGGAAATGACTCCAGTCATCCCTATTTGTTCCAGCGATTTGTTTTTGTTTTTTATATACTATATTAATTTTTTATTTTTAGTATTTTTTTATATTTAGCATTTAAAAAAAAAACGCTTTAAGATTCTGGTTTACTCCTTCGAGTAGTCGATGCAACATTGTGACCTCGCTCATTGCTTTCTTTGGGAATGCCCACGTGGAAGAAAATAATATTTGAAATATATTTTTTTAAATATTCTTATCAAATATATTGACATTCATTTGAAATGCTACAATTTTGGCCATATTCCATATATTTAAAAATATATTTCAATAAAAAAAAAAAAAAAATACATATATATATATTTCGAAATGCATTTTTATTACAAAATATATGAAAAATATTTTTAAAAATACATTTCAAATATACCGTATGTCTTTAAAAACAGAAATCTACATTTTTGGAATGCATTTACAAATATATTTAAAAAGATATGTTAAAATGACTGTTTTATATGTTAAAAAAAATCTGAAGGATATTTTTAAAATATATTTCAAATATATTTTTCTTCCATATGGGTATTGAGAAGTAAATTGTCTGAGCTCCCACCTCACTGACAACAAATTTCTCGACCCCCTACAGTCTGGCTTTCGCCCCCAACACTCCACCGAAACTGCCTTACTAAAGATCTCTAATGACCTACTAACTGCTAAAACCAACGGCCACTATTCAGTGCTCCTTCTCCTCCACCTCTCTGCAGCTTTTGACATGGTTGACCACCCCCTCCTCCACAAAAACTACACTCCCTTGGCATCAGGGACTCCACTCTCTCCTGGCTCTCCTCCTACCTATCACAACGCTCCTTCAGTGTTACCTATAATACTACCACCTCCCCCCCTCCCCCTCTCTGTTGGGGTCCTTCAAGGCTCTGTCCTCGGGCCCCTTCTCTTCTCCAACTACACCTCCTCCCTTGGTCACTTGATAACCTCCAACGACTTCAACTACCATCTCTATGCTGATGACACTCAAATCTATCTGTCTACCCTCCACCTCACCCCTTCAGTCTCCAATCGCATCACCAGCCTACTAAATGTCATATCGGCCTGGATGTCACTCCACTTCCTCAATCTCAATCTTTCAAAAACTGAGCTCTTAGTTTTTCCCCCCCAGCCCCCCCCCCCCCCGACTTCTCCATAAATATCGCTAACACCATCTTCAGTCCCTCCGCTCATGCCAGAGTACTAGGTGTAATCCTAGACTCCCATCTGTCCTTCCAGCCCCAAATCCAATCACTGTCCAAATCATGTAGACTTCACCTCCGCAACATCTCCAACCTCCGCAACATCTCCAACCTGCGCAACATCTCCAACCTCCGCAACATCTCCAACCTGCGCAACATCTCCAACCTCCGCAACATCTCCAACCTCCGCAACATCTCCAACCTCCGCAACATCTCCAACATACGCCCGTTCCTAACCCCGGAAACCACTAAGCAGCTCATCCACTCCCTTATTATCTCTTGTCTTGACTACTGTAACTCCCTCCTCATTGGCCGACCTCATTGCAGACTATCCCCTCTTCATTCTATCATGAATGCTGCTGCCAGACTCATCCACCTTACTAACCGTTCTGTATCTGCCACCCCTCTCTACCAATCCCCCCACTGGCCTCCACTCAGTGTCCTCCACCCCCCTCTGCCAATCCCTCCACTGGCCTCCACTCAGTGTCCTCCACCCCTCTCTGCCAATCCCTCCACTGGCCTCCATTCAGTGTCCTCCACTCCTCTCTGTCAATCCCTCCACTGGCCTCCACTCAGTGTCCTCCACCCCTCTCTGCCAATCCCTCCACTGGCCTCCACTCATTGTCCTCCACCCCTCTCTGCCAATCCCTCCACTGGCCTCCACTCATTGTCCTCCACCCCTCTCTGCCAATCCCTCCACTGGCCTCCACTCAGTGTCCTCCACCCCCTCTGCCAATCCCTCCACTGGCCTCCATTCAGTGTCCTCCACCCCCTCTCTGCCAATCCCTCCACTGGCCTCCATTCAGTGTCCTCCACTCCTCTCTGTCAATCCCTCCACTGGCCTCCACTCAGAGTCCTCCTTCCCTCTCTACCAATCCCTCCACTGGCCCCCACTCAGTGTCCTCCACCCCTCTCTGCCAATCCCTCCACTGGCCTCCACTCATTGTCCTCCACCCCTCTCTGCCAATCCCTCCACTGGCCTCCACTCAGTGTCCTCCACCCCCCTCTGCCAATCCCTCCACTGGCCCCCACTCAGAGTCCTCCTTCCCTCTCTACCAATCCCTCCACTGGCCCCCACTCAGTGTCCTCCACCCCTCTCTACCAATACCTCCACTGACCTCCACTCATTGTCCTCCACCCCTCTCTGCCAATCCCTCCACTGGCTCTCAGTTGCCCAACAGATAAAATTCAAAACACTAACAATGACATATAAAGCCATTTATAACTCCCCCCAAATTACATCACCGATCTTATCTCTAAATATCACCCGAACCGTACTCTCCGCTCCTCGCACGACCTCCTGCTCTCTAGCTCCCTTATCTCCTCCTCCCATGCTCGTCTCCAAGACTTCTCCAGGGCGTCACCCATCCTCTGGAACTCCCTACCCCAATCTATCAGACTATCATCTACTCTACTTGCCTTTAGGCGATCACTGAAAACCTTTCTCTTCAGGGAAGCCTGCCCTGCCCTCAGCTAATTCTGGAATCCTCTATTCTTCCAATCACTCCATCCCCCACAGTGACTACCTACTGTACCACTAGCCCCTCCCTCCTAGATTGTAAGCTCCCAGGATCAGGCCCTCCTATCCCTCTTGTATTGATCTGTATTGTTGCTGTATTGTCTCCCGTTATAATGTACAGCGCTGAGCACACTGCTGGCGCCATAAATCCTGTATAATAATAATAATAAATAATAATAATAATAATAAAAGCACACCAATAATGTACACAGGAAGGTTTTCTCATAGATCCTTAATAGAAAAAAAAAAATAAACTTAGAGGTAAAACAATGGAAATGACTCCAGTCATCCCTATTTGTTATAGTGATTTTTTTTATATGCTATATTATTATTTGTAGTACTTTTATATTTATATTTTTATAGTTATATTTTTATATTGACTTCAGTCATCCCTATTTCTTTCAGTGATTATTTTTTAATATGTTTGCATATGCTATATATTTATTTATTATTTATTTCAGGTACTTATATATCGCCGTCAATGTACGCCGCGCTTTACATATATATTGTACATTCACATCAGTCCCTAACCCTCAAGGAGCGTACAATCTAAGGTCCCTGACCCTCAAGGAGCGTACAATCTAAGGTCCCTGACCCTCAAGGAGCGTACAATCTAAGGTCCCCAACCCTCAAGGGGCGTACAATCTAAGGTCCCCAACCCTCAAGGGGTGTACAATCTAAGGTCCCCTGACCCTCAAGGGCGTACAATCTAAGGTCCCCAACCCTCAAGGGGTGTACAATCTAAGGTCCCTAACCCTCAAGGGGCGTACAATCTAAGGTCCCAACCCTCAAGGAGTGTACAATCTAAGGTCCCCAACCCTCAAGGGGCGTACAATCTAAGGTCCCTAACCCTCAAAGGGGCGTACAATCTAAGGTCCCTAACCCTCAAGGGGTGTACAATCTAAGGTCCCCAACCCTCAAGGGGTGTACAATCTAAGGTCCCAACCCTCAAGGGGCGTACAACCTAAGGTTCCCCAACCCTCAAGGGGTGTACAATCTAAGGTCCCCAACCCTGAAAGGGTGTACAATCTAAGGTCCCTAACCCTCAAGGAGCGTACAATCTAAGGTCCCAACCCTCAAGGGCGTACAATCTAAGGTCCCTAACTCTCAAGGGGCGTACAATCTAAGGTCCCTAACCCTCAAGGAGCGTACAATCTAAGGTCCCTAACCCTCAAGGGGTGTACAATCTAAGGTCCCTAACTCTCAAGGGGGTACAATCTAAGGTCCCTAACCCTCAAGGAGCGTACAATCTAAGGTCCCTAACCCTCAAGGGGCGTACAATCTAAGGTCCCTAACCCTCAAGGGGTGTACAATCTAAGGTCCCTAACCCTCAAGGGGGTGTAACAATCAAGGGGTCCCTACAACCCTAAGGTCCCTAACCCTCAAGGGGCGTACAATCTAAGGTACTTAACCCTCAAGGAGCGTACAATCTAAGGTCCCTAACTCACATTCATACATACACATTTTAGGGCCAATTTAGACAGGATCCAATTAACCTACCAGCATGTCTTTGGAGTGTGGGAGGAAACCGGAGTAACTGTAGGAAACCCACGCAGGCACAGGGAGAACATACAAACTCCAGGCAGGTGGTGCCGTGGTTGGGATTTGAACCAGCGACCTGAGTACTGCCAGGCAGAAGTGCTAACCGTTTAGCTGCTGTGCCGCCCTATATTCATTTTTTATTTTTAGTATTTTTAGTATTTTTTAGCATTAAAAAAAACACTTTAAGATTCTGTGATGTTTATATATAAATGCTATTTTTAATTTTTATACTTTGATATTTATATTTTTATATTTATTTATATAGATCGTGAGCGTGCTCATTGCTTTCCTTGGGAATATTGAGAAGCAAAAGCACACCAATAACCTACAAATGGCTATTTTTATTTATTTATTTTTTTTTTTTTTTTGCTCTGATTTTCAGTTTAATGTTTTTCTCTGGATTCTTAATAGAAAAATAATAGAAAAAAAAAAAAAAAAACCAGCATCTGGGTTTATGAAGCACAATATAGCGGAGAGGAAGACGGAAGAATGAGAGGAAGGATAAGAGGAGATTTAGAGAAAATAAACAGGTATAAAAAAAACGAAATGATTTTTCTGCGGCAATCCTCGAGGGGATGGAACACGGAGCCGGTGATGAGGCGCTCCTTCCCTCCTTCACTGTAAATGACTTCCAGAGTTCCCCACTAAACAATCTGGAGTAATATTGTGAGCTGAGCTCCCCGGGTCCAGCAGAGCGCCCGCTGTTATGAAATATAAACATGCCAGCCGAGGACTCGATTTATTCGCTTCGCCTTCCTGGAAGCAGACGCTGAGCCGGCCGTGTGACTGCAGTTGTGTTCAGACTTACGTCCCGATATTGAAGTACCGGCATCTCTACGGACCGCCGCGCTTCCTTGCCTTTTACCGAAACATATCAGGGAGCGCGCTTCTTCTTCTTGTAGGACGCATCGCGCGGGGCTCTCGGAGTGTGGGGAGGTGGAAGTTCCTGCGGCCACGGGAAATTCCATGTATGAGTATGGGGAGGTGGAAGTTCCTGCGACCACGGGAAATTCCATGTATGAGTATGGGGAGGTGGAAGTTCCTGCGACCACGGGAAATTCCATGTATGAGTATGGGGAGGTGGAAGTTCCTGCGGCCACGGGAAATTCCATGTAGGAGTATGGGGTGATGGAACTTCCAGCGGCCATGGGAACTTCCATGTATGAGTATGTGGTGATGGAACTTCCAGCAGCTACGGGAAATTCCATGTATGAGTATGGGGCGGTGGAACTTCCAGTGGCCATGGGAACTTCCATGTATGAGTATGGGGTGTTGGAACTTCCGGCAGCCACGGGAACTTCCATGTATGAGTATGGGGTGATGGAACTTCCGGCAGCCACAGGAACTTCCATGTATGAGTATGGGGTGATGGAACTTCTGGCAGCCACGGGAAATTCCACGTAGGAGTATGGGGTGATGGAACTTCCGGCAGCCACAGGAAATTCCATGTATGAGTATGTGGTGATGGAACTTCTGGCAGCCACGGGAAATTCCACGTAGGAGTATGGGGGGATGGAACTTCCGGCAGCCACAGGAAATTCCATGTATGAGTATGTGGTGATGGAACTTCCAGCAGCCACGGGAAATTCCATGTAGGAGTATGGGGTGATGGAACTTCCAGCGGCCATGGGAACTTCCATGTATGAGTATGGGGTGATGGAACTTCCGGCAGTCATGGGAACGTCCATGTATGAGTATGGGGCGGTGGAACGTCCAGCGGCCACAGGAACTTCCATGTATGGGTATGGGGCAATGGAACTTTCTGGCGGCCACGGGAACTTCCTTGTATGAGTATGGGGTGATGGAACTTCCGGCGGCCATGGGAACTTCCATGGAAATTAGAGAGCCAGTTACGGCAGAGAAAAGGTGACCAGGTAGGCCAGCAGACCAGATGGGGCAGATCATAGGGCCCCGTAGTGAAAATGTGATTGTGACCCAGCAGTTAGCCTTTCCCTCCTGTAGGGGGCCTAGTGCCTTCATTGAGGACAAAAGGGGAACCTTCGTAAGGGATTGGTCCTTTTGGAGAGCAAAAAGTAGCCTGGTCGGGCATAGGACCATAGAGAGGGTTTTGGGTGGCCATCTTGGGCGAGGAAACCTTTTAAATAAGGGTGTGGGCGCTCCGTAGATGGGGGCTCTTCCATGAACGCGTTCACTAATGGTTGGCATGCAAGAGTCAGCATCAAGGCGGCACTCCAACTTGGAAGTGAGGCCTTCACCTTTGCACAGATACACGTTAAATCTTGAGGTACCTTGGTGGGAGACGCCCTTTCCTGTGACACCGTACACCTTTCTTCCTGAACGCAGCATTTAGAGGCGCATACAGTGGACCCTGCATCCCTCTCCACCAGCCGAGCTTTAATTGCCACCTCCCTCTCAGTGACAATGTGAAGGTCCCACCATGACTCTGCGCGGACCTCTGCCTATAGACCATGTTAGCTCTCCCATAT